AAAAAAAAAAAGAAAATGACAAATCCTGCATTTGATTCTGCCCAGAGAGTGAATGTACAGCACATGGCAGGTACATAATAATCTCTTCTTGGCTTACACAAACCAAGACCCAGGCAATACATGAGACAGAGCCTGGGCTCTCTGTACTCACTAAAACAATTAGATATTTCATTTTCTTCCTGGACACAGGAAAAAGATGCTATTTTACGGATAAACAATAACACTGCCAAAATCCTAATGGAAGGTTCTCAAATACAAAAGAAACTTTGAAGCTTTACTTTTGACTTTACTGTCATCATATACTATAAAATTTTGTACTCTCCATAACACTCTGAACACAGTAAGGACTCCATAAATATCTGCTTAAATAAAAAAAAAATACAAACCTGTACTTTTGTATCATACCCTTCTGATCAATTCCACAATTCTTATACTTAATACCTACATGTCCTAAGAATGAACAAATATGACTTCGGGAATAGGGTCGGTCGATTAAGGAAATCATAATTTTCTTTTTTGTGAGTCAGAGTTTTATTATGCCACTCTCGGTAGAGTGCTATGGTGTCACAGCTCACAGCGACCTCAAACTCTTGGGCTTTAGCGATTCTCTTGCCCCAGCCTCCCAAGTACCTGGGACTATAGGCGTCTGCCTCAATGCCTGGCTATTTTTTGTTGTAGTAGTCATTGTTTTTCAGCAGGCCTGGGCTGGGTTTGAACCTACCAGCCTTGGTGTATGTGGCCAGCACCCTACCCACTGAGTTAGGGGCACCACCCAGGAAATCATAATCTAAACTAAACATTATGATAAAAATATCACACAAATGTACTATCAAGGCACACTCTATTAAACCACTAAGTACTCACAGAGGCAAAGGTGCCAATTTGTTTGATATTCTGTTCATAGCTTTGTGAGCTGGTAGGACGGCCAGGGGTTCTCCTGGAATACCAGAAAGTGTAGTTGTACTGCAGGGGGTGCTCTGCTGGTCCAGGGACAACAGCCTGGGAAGTAAAGAATTTGTGTTAATCTTGGGCATTTATTACAAGCTCTGAGACTGAAAACAGCTTATAGTGTCACTCCTTACCACCTCCACAATTAAAAAAGGATACTACCTCAATTACCTGCAATGTGCCCAAGATTCTGCTTACACAGTACATTGCCTTAGTGTTCAACTGATTCTAAATTCCCCTAACACTTTCTGTGTTCTTATGGCTTCTGTAACTTTCTCCCTCATAGGCAAGGGGGTTTACATCTTTTTTCTTTTTTTTTTTTTGAGACAGAGTCATACTATGTCGCCCTTACTAGCGTGCTGTGACATCACAGCTCACAGCAACCTCAAACTCTTGGGCTTAAGTGATTCTCTTGCCTCAGCCTCCCAAGTAGCTGGGACAACAGGCACCTACCACAACGCCTGGTTATTTACTTATTTTTTTGTAGTTATTGTTGTTTGGCAGGCCCTGGCTGGGTCTGAACCCGCCTGCCCTGGATGTATGTGGCCAGTGCCTTAGCTGCTGAGCTACAGGTGTCGAGCCCAAGGTTTACATCTTATCTTGGTATATGTCCAGTCCAAGCACCTCCTCCTGTACAACACTCTTATCACTTTCTTGCAAGTTGTTTAACCTGTATGTGTCTCAGCATCTTACCTGCAAACTGGGGGAAATAATAACAACCACCTCACAGGGTTTCTGAGAGGATCAAATGAATTAGTAGCTATAAAGTGCTTAGCACAGTGCCTAGAATAGTGTGCTCAATAAATGTCAGCTATCATTATTATTATCATCACTATTAGAGGTAATCTCTTTGATCCACAATCTCATTCCCCTTTGTGTCCTCTCAGCACCTAGCATAAAATGCTTACACTTGAACAGCATCTAATATTGCAGAATAAATGAATTAATGATTGTTTGATATTTCAAGGAAAAAACTAATCTTTAATTCTCTAAATTTTCTCTTTTCCATGCCCCTTTCAACTCAGACTATTACTAACTAAAGAGTCTCAGCAGCAACTTATGAAGCAGCTGATAGCCCTGATAAACTACAGGGCTAATCTCCCCCTATCATGCTAGGAGAATGTTGTAAGCAAAGGCAGCACCTCAAGATCCTATGGAAGAGAAAAGTTCTAAGTCTCAAAATGAACTTTAGTGATTCCAATTTTTTTTTTTTTGGAGACAGAGTCTCACTTTGTCACCCTAGGTAGAGTGTCATGGCGTTACAGCTCACAGCAACCTCTAGCTCTTGGGCTTAGGAGATTCTCTTGCCTCAGCCTCCCAAGTAGCTGGGACTATAGGCGCCTGCTATAACACCTGGCTATTTTTTTGTTGCAGTATGACAGGGGCTGGGTTCGAACCTGCCACCCTTGGTATACAGGGCTGGTGCCCTACTCACTGAGCCACAAGCACGGCCCCCAAAATCTTTTTTTTAAACAAAAAACAAACTTAGATATTCTAAAACAGGACACCAGCAATTAATTTGATATCTTTCAGATAAACAGATTCCACAAGATAACCAAGTCTTAAATTCAAAGGCAAATATACCTGTGCAGTACAAAACTCACCTTCCTTTTGCTACTGTTCTGATTCTTGTCTCGTTCCGTTTTTTCCTTCTCACCATCTTTCTGTGTGCTGTTTTCTTCATTCTGATCATGGTCCCCACTGTCATCATCTTTCAAGCTAAACGGGAAGGCAAAACAATACCATTCCATAACTGAGCTGATTCTTGCCTACCTAACAAAGCACCATGTCATGCAAACTACCAGGACACCCAAGCCAACATTACTCAAAATACAGACCATGAGATGCATGTGAGATGAGAGATGGGCAGAGGAATGAAGGATGGCAAATTAGGAGAATTAAAAATGAAACACTCCTCAGGTAATTTGTGAACTTTAGGAATCACTGTCAGTTTCTAACAAGCTAGACAAAAATGCAGTTAAAGGGATTGTTTTCTTTCTTTCTTTCTTTCCCCTCTCTCTCTCTCTCTCTCTCTTTCTTTCGAGACAAGAGCCTCAAGCTGTCACCCTGGCTAGAGTACCGGGGCGTCACAGCTCACAGCAACCTCGAACTCCTGGGCTCAAGTGATTCTCTTACCTCAGCCTTCCCAGTAGCTAGGATCACAGGTGCCTGCCACAATGCCCGGCTATTTTTTTGTTTGTAGTTGTCACTGTTGTTTGGCAGGCCTGGACTGGATTCGAACCCGCCAGCTCTGGTGTATGTGGCTGGTACATCAGCTGCTTGAGTTACAGGTGCTAAGCCAAGGGATTGTTTCCTTTGTCAAAAATAGAGTCAACATTGACAAGAGTTTCTGAATTAAATAACTGCTTTGGCATTTCAAAAGAAGGTTAAGGCGGCACCCATAGCTCAGTGGGTAGGGTGCCAGCCACATATACCCAGGCTGGCGACCCGGTTTGAGCCAGCTAAAATCAACAATGACAGGTGGCGCCTGTGGCTCAAGGAATAGGGTGCTCGCCCATATACAGGAGGTGGTGGGTTCAAACCTGGCCCTGGCCAAAAACTGCAATAAATAAATAAATAAATGCAACAATGACAACTGCAACAACAACAAAAAAAACAAACAGTGGGGCGTTGTAGCAAGTGCCTGTAGTCCTAGCTACCTGGGAGGCTGAGGCAAGAGAATCACAAGCTGAAGAGTCTGAGGCTCCGCGCCTGTGGCTCAAGTGGCTAAGGCACCAGCCACATACACCTAAGGTGGCGGGTTCAAATCCAGCCTGGGCCCACCAAACAATGATGGCTGCAACCAAAAAATAGCCGGGCGTTGTAGCAGGCGCCTGTGGTCCCAGCTACTCGGGAGGC